TCTGGGAGGATGAAATGTGATTTTGAAAACTTACCTCTTCTCAGAAGACCTCATTCCATATTTACCAGACATTCTTTGGATGTGCTCAATCATATCATTTCAAATCCCAAGATGCAGTACAAATTGATTAACAGAAAAATATATCCTGTGGTTTTAAGTAGCAATTATGTTCTCTCATTTTCCTTTAGGAGTTGGATTTAGAGAATCTTTCTCAAAAAACATAGGTGCGGTATACTTTAAGTCAAAAACTCCTACCCCTGACTTCAGATTAAAACACATATGGGCACATTTAAGAAAACTGTCCTCATCTGACCCAATTCTAGTCCCTGAACTACTGGATAGCACACCTTGTCCACTGAGGTTCGGACCATTTTCTTAAGAATCTAAACAAACAGCAAGCAAAGCACAGCTGGCCAGTGACTAGCTACTATTGTGTGTTTGCTGCCAAGGACACCCGGGACTCCTTTTCTGCTCAAGGTTATGTGGGCCACATACTGTGAAAAGAGAAAATTGCTTTGGACAGGCACAGAGCTCTACCTCCAAAAATAAGTGCTTTGACCACTTTCTTGGGCCATCTACCTAACAGTTCAGTCTCTTGACTTCAGGGACATCATTCATGCCTTCTCGTAGGGGTCTCATGATAACCCAAAAGGATGTAGATCAAGCCATGTAGCTTTACATACAACCTTATTTTATAAGAAACAATTCATTTCTAGAGCCAATTTTGGTGGGAGGAAAGAAAAGAAAGTTGAATTGTTTCCCACAAAAAGCCAGTTTCAGGGCTGAAAATCCCATTAATCTTGGAATGACTCTTCCTTAAGGCAACAGAGTTCACCTCAGGAGTGGGGAGCTGGACACAGTACGGACCTCTGCAGGCAGCAGATGCAGGACAGGAAGGCTGAAGGCTCTTTCTGGTACTCCTCCTTGCTGCTGCATTCCTTCAGGAATTCCTGCAGATCCGTTTCAGGAAACCCATTCTGCTGATATTTCTTTTAAAAAGCACACAATGCTGTTACTTTATAGAGCATGAGAAATTGACCCTTTGCCAACAAATCAAACTCACCTTTGCTAAAACAAAACTCTCCCACAGAGCTAGTTCGGATCCAAGAAGTGCTATTAGAACAATGATGCATCCATCTGTCAAGTCCCAGAACAGGCAAGCCAGAGACTCCATGGGAACAGAGAACAATTCAAAGGAAAGTTCCAGAAAGCTTTGGAAGAGTGTGTTCAAAAGGAGGATGAAGGAAGTAGTCCAAGTCTAAACTAGAGTGCTAGTACCGAGACTAGATGAGACTTCCAGTCCTCAGTGGCAAAGCACAGGACTCTACTTCCTCTACTCTTATGGAAGGTGGCTGCAGAGTGAGCCAGAAGGCAGATTTTTCCAAGCAGACACAAAGGCTCTAGGGCCCTTGGCCCTCATGCTGAGAGAGGTCAAATTTCTCTCTTTTCTGCCAGGCGCTGAACTCTCATCTCCCCACACACTCATCGCCCCACTATGCCAATGGCCTGGCTTTCCTCTTCATTAGTCTGGGGAAGGTTAAGCACATAACAGTGGCCAAAGGCACCAACTCAGCCTCCCACAGTGTTCAAAAGGTTTTCCAAGCACAGCCACCTGCTATGAAGAAACCAGCCCCTGAGGAATCAGACTTTCTTCAAGCTACAAATTAGTTAAATGGGTTCAGTCTGGAAGGACAGAACACATCAGGTGGCTTAGGAAAGTAGGAAGCTAAACTGCACAAAAGGTTTCGCTTTCATTAGTTAAAGGAAAGCTGCACCATACAAGTGGCCATCCCATGCAGTGTAAGGAAAGGCAGGACCTGAAAATGTACCCCCTTAACTTTCAGTCCCAGGTAGCCACACAGACAGGTGCATTGGTCAGTGGCATGAGCAGCAGCCTAGCTACTGGTCTCAGCCCACCCTTTCTCTTTTCTCATTTCTTTCTCACAGCACCTCTAAACCCACCCACTCCAATCTGGGTAACAGGGACAAGGTCCTAAATCCACATTTAAAATTAGCCTCTAGCATTTACCAGGTTTATCGTCTACAAAACCCTCAAAACCTAAATAAAATTATAATATCCTATGTGAATATATGTTAAGTTCCAATCCATACAGAATTTGCAATGACTTGTGGCAGCAAATATTGTTACTTACCTTAACAGTGTAGTACGAATCTGTGATAAGTGCAATAAAAAGGCTGAGGATCATATATATAAAAAGGCTAATGAAGGAATATAAGTACAGACGGCTGAACAGCCACACCAAGATGCTCTTCTGTTGGATTTGAGCAAAAGTCGCAAACATGTCATCACCGTTGACCAGAGAAAACAGGCACTCGGCGACTATGTTCAGGTTCTCAAACTGTGGGGGAGAAACAGAAATTAGCTTCTGAGGTAGCGTAGCATATGCTACAAAGCAGAGAGGTGTAGTTAGCTTGTTAGCATGAAGTTGTTTTTGTCATTAGAAGAAGTAACATTAATTCTTAAAACAGCTAGAAAATAACAAGAATAGGAAAATATTAAAACATCACACTCTCAAAGCTGATCTCTTGGCTCCTTCCTAAGCACTTTTTATATGTTTCCGGTCATGTCATCCTACAAATTTGGATCCTGATTTTTTTTCTACTTAACGTAAATATCTTCTTATGTTATTCACACATAGAGAGCATTTGTCATCTAATGGCTACTCCTTGAAATCCTAATTATCTCTCCACCACTGGACATTGTATATTTGCTATTATAAAGAACACTGTAATGAACATTTCTATGCATAATGGTTTTATTATTGAGTAAAAACTGCTAACTTTTTTTGTCCAGTACTGAGGCCTGAACCCAGGCCTTCACATTGAGCTATACCCCTAGGCCTTTTAAGAAATGTTTCTTTTCATTTCGAGACAGGGTCTCAATACAGCACTAAGCTGCCCAGGCTGAGCCTGAGCTTGTGACCCTCTTGCCACAGCCTCCCTTGGTGCTGGGACTACAAACATGTGCCAGCGTGCCAGGCTATGCTGTTAACATCTTTCAGGCTGTGACCTGCCAAGCTTTCTTCTGGAGGAACTGCAACCATGACATATGGAAGCAACTGGGACACAACAAAGGATCAGAAAGTTTTGTTAAATGAATGCCTTCCCGTAGCCTTTCCAACCATGGATCCAGGTAACATTAGCACATGAGAAGCTAAAAGCAGGTCAGGGATGTAGCTCAGTGGTGCAGTGACTGCCTGGCAAGTGCAAGGCCCTAAGTTTAACTCCTGGTTCAAAAAAGCCCTCAAATGTTGAAGGTGGAATAATCATGGATAAGGCCCTCCAAGGACCCCATCCTACCAAGCAGATAAGCCATGGCCATGATACACAATGAGGCCCCGCAGTAGAGCTGGGTGGGCAGAACAAGGTAAGGGCCTCAGAATGGGCTCTCCAGCGGGAAGGGGAGAGGGAGGATGTGCTCAGTGACTGGGGGCAAGAGGCACTGAGCCTCAGAGTGGTGGCAGAGAGGACAGCTGTGCGCCACACTGCTGGGGCCTCACTGAGCTTTCTGCTTGAAGGCTCCATTCCGCCATGAAGGAAATTCCAACTCGGGAGTGACAGGACCTGATCTATGTTTCTCAGAGTGACCAAAGGCATGTGGGAGAATGGGAAAAGCCCAGTCAGAGGCACCTGTAGGATCCCAGTGAGACACAACAGCCCTGGCTGGAAAAAGAAGAGCAGGGAGAATATACATCTGGGGCAGGGCTAAGGCAAGAGAGTGTCAAAGGCCTGAGTCTGGGACAAGGTAAGTTTGAGGTGCCAGGCAGAAACATTGGCGTGAGGTGGTCGTGCTGAAGGTGTCCACCTAGAGGTCAGAAACAGACCCAGGCTGACATGGATACCCCTGGGATTCTGTGTCAGCCACTCTGGCTTTGAGGGGTTGACAAGCTCTCACAATAGCCACTGAACAATCCATCCTTTCTACCCCACTTGGCATCAACACTTAGGTCTGAATTATTACAGAAACCTCCAAGGAAGTCTCCACCCTCTTCACCATCCAGTCTAAGCTGCAGGAAAACTCAAACTTCCCAGAAGATGGATTTCAGGCCACTTCTCTTTCTTAAGGTTATAAAATGTCCAGATGCAAAGTAAAGACCCAAACCGAGAAGGCTGGAGTGAGCTCCTCAGCCTGTGGCCTCACTGAGTCACCTCCTTGTCAATACTAACATCCTGTCTCCTTCCACATCACCCAGCCATTGCTACGTCTTTTCCTCATGGGATTTATTTTCTTCATCTCCTATATTCTTCTTCCTCGCAAGTCAACATTCAAGAGCTAATTCAACGTCTCTTACAAGACAGACTGCCCTGGCAGTTCTAGGCCCTCCTCTGTTCTTGTATCAGCAAGCGTTAGAGTAAACTGTGGGATGCTCTTCTAATTGCTTCTATGTATGGTTCTCTGTACCCTAGTTGGAAAGCAAACAGCATGTCTTACCCTTCTTGGCCCATGACTAGACTATGCAAGGTAAAGTTAGAGACTGGGGATACCCACACCTTTGTCAAACCCACAACTCTGATGAGCTGGACTAAAGTCACTCTCTGTAGGGAGGTGGAGGGGAGATCCAGTTGAACAAATCATTTAGTACACAGATTATTTAATAGCAAGGGAGGCAGTTCCCAGTGTATATAATTTCCATTTTCTCCACTAGCCTTCAATCTGAAGTTAAAGCTGGTTTCTACAGATGTCAGTTATAACTCTGGCAGCAGCATCTCTCTCATAGCTTCTTTTGCAATCTGGTCGATTCCTCTATTTAGTTTCAATAACTCTCAGCAGTCTGTACTTCAGGTTTCAGAACTGCAAACAGCGAGGTGGTCAATACTTATCAACTCAACTTCTTATTTTCCTGTGTAGTCATTTATTAGCAGTGTAGATACAATATCCATCTCATCATAATGTTATTCATAACCATTGTAACTCTTTCCCCTGTGCACATAAAAATTATTTTACTCTAGCAAAATGTTAAAGCAGAGATTCAATAAATTAAGTAGTGCACAGCCTGTTGTTTTTGTATTACAATAATTGGGTCTGAACCAGAGTCAGTTCCAGCAGCCAAATTAAATAGAAATGGAATATTCCCAACGTAAGGTCCTAATGTGTTTCCAGCTAGAAGGACCACATACGGGGCACTGCTTTGCTTCTTGAGAGATTGTAAGCCTCTGGAAAGCAGGTACTGCTGTTTTTCCCCAGCAAACTTATTGAGCACCTGCCACATTCTGTGCAGCAGCCTGGACCCTGGGAATATAGAGAAAGAAGCCATTGTCCCTGCCTTCCAAGAATGCCGCGTAGAAGAATGTGACAAGATTTAGTGCACAGTAGACATTTAATAAATATTACATGGGTATTTCCATTAAAATCCCCGTAGACTCCATGGAACCACAACGAGAAACCAAACATCCATTTCACAGATGATAATTCTGTGGTTGAGCTAAAAAGAACTTTCACTTGGATGTAAACACAGCCTGCAATAGCTCATGTCAGAGAATGATACAGAAGTTTGCTCCAAGAGCTGGTGGAAAGAATCTCATGCAACATTTAGGTAAAAATTTTAACTGGCTTGCAGTTCTTTTAAATAAGAGAGGTACTTGGCTAAAACCAGCAGCCTGGAATCACAAAAGTGTCACGCAGGGTCTGCAGGTTTTTACCCATAGCATCAAAAAGGCCAACGATTTTTCAATGCCTTGGTCTTCTCATTTGAAAAACGGTAACTGTGCAAGATTAGTATTTATCCCTCACAGAAAGAAAAGTCCTCTGGAAATTAAAATCCACATTAAAGTAATGTTTAATAATTCAAGATGAGGTCTGGAAGAACATCAACAGTCTCTAGCCCTCTGTGCCCGAGATCTCGAAGGGGCACAGTGCCAAAGTCCATTAGTGCCGGAAATGGACATCAGCAAGACCCTTTCATACCTTTGTTCCCTTTAGTTGAATCAGTGAAATTAGATGTCGAACAGGAAGGTGGGGAGCTAAAATGGTGAGACTGGCTACCGATCAAACAGTGTTATCAAATTATAATTTTCCTGATACCTCCTTTCTAGAGTTGTTTTCTGTTTGTCTTACTGGAAGAATTAACTTTCACATTCAAGGTTGCTGTGATTTTAAAAATACTAGAAAATGCTCGTGATAAAGTTCCTCTGATTCAGCAGATAACTGCAGAATCTGAAAATGTTAACATTTTGGATTAATGGGGGGGTGGTACAGAAGGTAGTAACATTTTCTAATTTCAGAAATTTTCTAATTTCAGATTCAAAGAAACAGCAATTTGAAGCAGAAAAGCACAAAAGTCCAAAACCAGACTGAAATTCTTTTACTGCAGACTTGTACATTCATTGAATTCACTCACTTATGCATTTCCGCAATCAGCCTGGCTACGGAAGGGGGAGGGAGAGAGAGAAGGAGAGAGAGAGGTCATAAATGGACCTGCTGGCCAATGCTAGAGACATCCCTCCTCCATCTGCTCCCCAGAGGGGTAAAGGGGAGCTCACATTAAGTGGGAGCCACACCTAGAGGTGCAGTGTCCTAAATGCTAACCACTCGCCACATGTGAGTCCTAAGCACCTGAACATGTAACTCACTGTCTTAGTCACTTTTTTTGTTGCTGAGACAAAATACCCAACACCCACAACTTAAAGGAGGTTTATTTTGGCTTTTTTAGGCTTCAGAGGTTCTAGTTTATAGTTGGCTGGTGCCACGGCAGAAAGGGCAAGGTGTGAGAGCCTAGGGGAGGACAGCTGCTCAGCTCAGGGCAGCAAGGAAGCACATGGCCAAGGGAGGAGCCAGGAGGGAGATGCACCCCTCCAGGTCACACCCCAGGGACAGCACATTTCCCTCTGATAAATCTGCTGCCTCCATGATCTAACTGCCTTACAAAAGCCTGGCCTCTGAACACAAGAGCCTTTGGGGGGACATTCTAGATTAAACCATAACACTCATTCAATTTGAGATGTGCAGTGAAGATAAAATAAGACACCAGATTTCAAAGATTTAGTACTCCCCCAATGTAAAAGATCTCAGTATTTTACATTGCTTATATCTGAAACAATATTTTGGCTATACCAGGTTTAATAAAAAATATAATTAAAATCAATTTCATCTGTTCCTTCATTATTTTTTAATGTTGCTCCTAGAATACTTTTAAAGTATACACACGGCTCCCATTTGTAGCTCATGTTATATTTTTATTGAACAGTGCTTGCCCAGAGGATCCCAGTTCACCTAGATCATTTGAAAGTACAAAACATATGGAAATGCAGTCAGGCTCCCAGAGCAAATAACCTCATTTTGCACTGGTGACCTTGACACACACATCAGACTGATTAGGCATCTCTCACAGTTGATCTGGAAGTACCATCCTGTGTCTTAGGTTAAACTAAAGCCCGTTTTGCATGATTGGCTTTAGACAAGGCCAAGAAAAGCTTTACAGGGCATCAGTAAAAGTTAGGTACTTGCACTGAGGTTAGGTAGACTGGGATTTGAATCCTGTCTTTGCCATTTAGTTGGAGGAAATTAGTTGATCAGGGATGTGCCCTGGAGGGCTTATTGGGACCCCAACTTCTTCTTATCTTCCTCTTTCCTTCTCAGTTACCATGAGGTGAACAGATTTCCCTCTATGATATACTTGACAAAAGCCCAAAGACAGTAAGGCCAAGTGACCATGGGCTGAAACCTCTGAAACCATGAGTTTAAATACACTTTCCTGCCTAAAAGTTGATTCTGTCAGGTATTTTGACACAGTGATGGAAAGCTGACTGATGAGGGTTAACATAACAAGGGAGATAAAGAATTTGAGCACCACGCCTAACAAATAGCACTTCAGAATGGTAGCCATTTAGTAAAATTCCAGCAACATTAACTGAGTATCTTCCAGAATAATGACAGGCTGAGAGAGATCAGAAGGAAGTGTCAAGGAGACAGGACCACTTGTCCTAAGGTCTTCCAGACAATGAATTAAAGCCAGATCCTTAGGTTCCTTTTTTACTCCACATGGTGCAACACTGCGCTCTAGTGACAAAGAAGCAAAGAAGCTTTTAGAGCAGGAGGAAAGGAGGAAGAAAAATGTAAATTTTTCTGAGTGCTAAGATGCAAGGAGTTCTCCAGCTCAGAGGTATCATATCAAGGAACAATTTTTACTCATGAGTCACCTTCAAAGCAGTGATGTGGATTTGAAAAGTAATAGGATCACTAAGATTTACTATTAACCCAGAGGTCATCATTGTTAATTACATGGCATTTCAAACAGTGGTTCTCTATGGACATATTGAACGTGACATGAAGAGAAGAAAGGCTGGGTCACTGGGTTTCTTTTGGTAGGACAACAAGAAGGTTTGGGCTTCATGGCTAACACTCTTCATGAACAGTCTGCAAACCAGATTTGATCACTTATTTCGGATAACACAGCTATCGAGATCAAAACAGCTCAATGTAGGGTTGAACTGTTACACAAGCTGGGAAGCAACTTTTTGCATTTTTTACTTCTTTTCTCCTTGCAGGGAACCTGAAGATAATCTGGGGAGTTGGGGGACGAAATGAGAGAGAATACAGAAATGTTCAGCATAATGTTAAACGTGTAAGCAGCAAGGGTTAGCTGACGTTATTTTGTTGTTGCTGTTGTTGCCCCCACAGCCACAGGTCCATGGATGAAAAACCATGTGGTGAAATAACTCCTTTTGCTTTTGTAGGTTGAAAACAATATCTACCTGGGTCATTTCACTTCCTGAAGTACCTAGCAAGCAAATGTATTATTTTAAAATAAGAACACCTTTGAACGACTTTAATGCTCTCGATATTATTATGCTGACTGAAGCTCAGTAATACTTTCAATCTCAGATTCTGATCTTTAATAAGACATAAAGATGGTAATGTTATCAAAACCACCTGCTATGACAAGACATGCTTTCCTTACAACCAGAAATGAGATGGTCACTTCAGGAAGTCTTTACCCACCTTCAGTCTCCTTAACTAGCTTGGCTGAAAACCTTAATTAACACTTTAAACTAGGGAGATTTTGTGATAATTTTCCTCAATTAATTTTTATTTTTTACTATGGTGATCTTGTGCCCAGATATTTTTCATCGGATGATCAGCTGGGTGCGTGTGTGACCCCTCAAGTCAGCCCCAGACAACTCTGACATGTGCGCTCCAATTGCTTGCCATGGTTCTTATATCTTAAAGGCACTTCAATATCCCGAAGAGGAAAACAAAAGAAAAACACCAAGACAAAGATATCTGCTTCTCTATATCAAGGGTGCATGCTCGAAAAGAGTGAAAAGAAGGTAGTGCAAGAGGGTCCCAGACGCCTGGTGTATAGGGGGAAAAATCAGTGCTACACACCTTCTCATGATATGGTCCAAGCACAATCCAGCCGCAGAATGTGTAACCCAGGTAAATCATGCCGGCACAGGCACAGAACCGGAGAACTTTCGGCAGCGAGGCTTGCATTGTTAATATGAGCACCTGAAAAAAATTAGAAATTAACAGAATGGGGGAAATGAAAAAGGAGCTATGTGAATCCAAGGAACTGATGGAATGCAATCGCGGTGCACTTCCCGGTGCCAAATGCTTACATTATATGCTTGGAAATAACCCAGGTATCTGATGACTCCAACCCAAACGAAGAGTGTAGACGTCCCCAGCAAAATGCTGCACAGATCATAATTTGTGAGAGTCTAAAGAATGAAGAAAGAAAAGACAGATAAGTAAATATTCTACTCCACTCACCTTATTTACCTCACTGTAAATGGTTTAGAAAGAATGGGCTATTTGTCTCCCTACAGATGCTAAGAGGTTTTTGTTTTGTTGTTGTTTGTGCATTCATGTTTTTTACAGTGGTGGGGATTAAAACCAGGTCTTTTGCACTGAGCTATATTCCTAGCCCTATTTATTTATTTATTTATTTATTTATTTATTTTTGAGACAAGGTCTTGCAAAACTGCTAAATTGTCCAGGCTGGGTTTGAGCTTGCCATTCTCCTGACTCAGCCTCCCAGAGTGCTGATATTCCAGGGATGCTCACCTTGTCTAGCAGCTGCTATGAATGTTTTTTTTTAAGGGCAAAGAAGATAGAGAACACAGTTCCAAATGTTTACTTCCTTTTACTATTTCAATTTGTTGAACTAATTTTTATCCAGATGCCATCCTGCAACTGAAATTGCATTCATCACTGACCTGAACATAAAAAAATAAGCTAATTGGCGTCGGCACTGGCCATGGGGAGAGGAGGCCCGGCGGCAGCCCCGGCGCCCAGCTGGTCTCCCCTCTCCTCGCCGGGGCCCAGACCCCGCAGTACGGCAGGCCAGGAGGGGTGGGCACAGGGCCTGCGGGCTGATCATGATTGCGGGCGCTTCCTTCTCTTGTGGTCGCTGCTGGCCCGCACAGCTCCGGATGTTGGGTGTCTCCCCTCGCTGCCTTGAGTAAAGCTAGTTTTACCCCAGAAACACTTATTGAGGACCAACTATGTGTCAGGTGTTGTGCTGCCTATTAAGGAGGCAGAGGATTTCTGTAATTGGCCTGATGACTGGTTTGATGAAATGGACAGTACACTTGCTGTTAGGCAGTATATTCAACAGAACATAGGGGCAGATTGCTCCAGTACTGACAAAATCCTTGAACCACCTGAAGGCCAAGACGAAGGTGTGTGGAAGTAGGAACTTAAGGGTTAGCATAAAAGAATCATCTGTAGCAAAACTAGGATCCGTGTGTCGTAGGATTTACAGAATATTTTCACATGCTTATTTCCATCACCGGCAGATATTTGATGAATAGGAAAATGAAAACATTTTTATGTCATCGGTTTACTAAATTTGTGATGAAATATAATTTGATGTCCAAGGATAACTTGATTGTACCAATTTTGGAAGAGGACGTTCAGAATTCAGTTTGTTTCCGCGTAGAGTGAAGCATGAAGGGAACAGGAGAGATGCAGGGCTCACGTAATTAACATTAATTATATACTGTACATACATCATTTTAGACACATCAATCATGTATCCACAGTCCAGCTTCTTTGTTTAGGGTAGGGTTTGTATGCTGTGTGTTTCCTTTTAAATGGGAAATACTTAAGCTATTCATGAGCTGTATATTCACCCGTGTGGCACTCATGGTTTTTAAATAAGATTAGTGTTATCTGTTTATAATGCCTGTTAATAAAAGAATTTACAGTTTGATAAAATTGCTGCTAAACAATCACTGGATCACAATCCTCATCAAATAAGTCTATCTGTAAAAAGGAAAAAAAACAAAAGCTAATCCTGTTTGTTAAAGACCAAGCAATACTATCCAGCTGCTTGTTAAAGACCAAGCAATACTATCCAGCTGCTTGTGAAGGCAAGCTCCGATGTGATTTCCTAACACATGCCCTGCTCTCAAGGAATGCTGGGTCTAGTGAGGAGACGAGCACACAGGCAGGATGCTAACACAATACCCCAGGAGTGATGGCAGACGCACGCCCGCTTCCCACGGCTGAGGCACCTGCAGGACAGGCAGGAAAAAGGCAATGGACAAAGGCAGAAGAGAGGCACAAGGCTGAGAGCTCCAAGCTGTTCTGGAAGGACAGTGAGACCGGGCAGGAGTGGGAGGGAGAGCCAGAGACAAGAGTGGATGAGGAGGACACTGGGGCCAGGCTGAAGGGAGGCCACTTCCCCCCAAAGTGGGTCGCAGAGGTAGAAAGGCCGCTAATGGCAGAAAAGTCCCTACAGCATCTGGGTGGATGGATCTGGGGGACAGAAGGCTGAAGACTCAAGCATTCCTGCCCTCCCTGCCCCCATCAGGGCACCCAAGGGTCACAACCGGGTCTCCATACATGATCAGGAGAGGTGGCTGATTTACGGGGCAGTGGCTCCTTTTGCAACTTAAAAACCCAAATAACAATTTTCTCAAGCTTCGGTTACTCTTCTGAAGATGCTGCCCGTTTCCGGGAGATCACCATCCCCAGCACACCAGCTTCCTTCCTCCCTTCACGAGGAATCAAATCAACCCATGTGCATGGATGTGAGAAAAGACAAAACCTAAGACCCAAACTAGTCTTCCTCAGGATTTTACATCTTAAGATGCCAGAACTCATCCAGATGAACATAAAGAACAAAAGGCTGTAAGTGGGCTGCCCTCACCTTTGCTTTGATTTCCATTTTTAATATGGATCCAACTATGGTCATCAGGTCACTGATGATCACCAGGACAAACCATCCGCTGACAAACTCCCACCGGCCAGTGTCACACACGCGTCTGTTGTACTTCTCCAGGAAGAAATCTAGAAATCTCTACAGCAAACATTTACACATTGATTTTTGGTTGTTTTTTTTTTTGTACCGGGGATCAAACTTGGGACCTTGTGCTTGCGAGGGAGGCGGCAGGACCACTGAGCTAAACCCCAGGCCCTACAGCAAACATTTAAACATGTATATTTTACAAACCACATTGCCCCCTGGAAGGAGAAAACAGGTGCAAAATGGTGCTTTTGTCCCTAAAAATGGCATGGCATTACCTTTTCCAACTTGCAGGTCCACTTCACGGGGACATTACAGAATACACTGTTCCCTGTCTGTCATCTACCCTGGCATTAAGTATCGGAGTACCTGCCAGATTAACCCAAACATTAAATACACATATCTGATGCAGTGTGTTCCAAATACCTGGTCTATGACCAGCTCACTCAAGCCAATGGGATGGCCACCCTAGGATCAAGGTACTATTCACTCCATCATGGAGATGAGGGAATTGAGGCACAGAGGCTAAGCCAGGACCTGAGCCCGAGCAGGCCAGCTCCAGAGTGTGTGCTCCCAGTGTTGCCCCCCCCCAATTTCACTGAGACAGGACCGTAACCTTGGATTCAGAGTATGGAGAGCACAGGAGGGCAGGTAAGGGAGGTGGTTATTTATACAGTGAGGTGGCAGAAGTCAAGATCAAGGAAACCCGAGCATAAACTATTCCCTTGCTTCATGATAATACCACAATGACTTCCTAGCTCCCCTGACCCCAGCAGAAATTTACACACGTCACAAGCCAGAATGAGATTTGTGTAGAGCTAAGTATATATTCCTAAGAGCCTTGAGGACAGAAAGGTAACGTGAAACTCAGGGGAAAATTTTTAAACTACTTAAAAAATAGAATAAGGTAGTTAATGTTTCACTATAACTATTTATCATGCTTCCCTGTCCAAAGGAGCTCTGATTTGAAGACAAAAGATGAAACCCACAGGTGCCATTCATTACTCTATTCTTAAGATTGCTCCTGAATTAAAAAGGATTTCATTTATTCTGGAAACATCTACAAGCTGAAGAGTTCATCACTGTGTGGCCCCGTTTATTAGCTCAGCTGTAAGCAGGGTAATTATCTTGTCCCACCTGACTAGCCAGAGCCCTGACTGACATCGTAGCTTCAGGCTGATTAGCGCCTCATGAGGGGCCATCACTCAAAGGGGTCAGGGAGGCCCAACGCAGCAGTCCCAACACAGTCTTCGGGCAAACTATGGGTGCAGGCCCAAAGGGGAGGGAGAAAATGCAAACACAGTTACCTTTCGTAGCCTCAGAGCAAGGACAATGGATCTTGTGCACAGAACAAGGGATGCCAGGCAAATCAAAATGACAAAAGCATCGAACACCAGTACATACTGAGTGTTTTTCTGAGCTGAAGAACAAAGCAGAGTGAAAGCGTTAAGCATGAGAATAATTTCCATGAGAAAAGTTACTTGAGAATAATTCCCTAGCAAAACTGGCCAGCTGAAAAGAAGTTCAAATGAAAAAAATGTTTTGTTTTTTGTCAAAATAGAATAACAAATATCAGAAAGGGATCATCATTCATTTAAAAGTTGATAAATTAGGTAAAACATCCCCTGATGTGAAGAGTTGTACATTTAAAAACTATTAATAGAAGCACTAATATGTATGCATAAACATTTGGTGTACAATTCAACAGGAGATGATCCCTCTGAGCTCCATCCCAAACAGGCAGAACTACTGATGCACTAAGCTGCTACACAGCAACGCACAGGCAGCACCAAAGAGCAGATTGAGTCCGCAGCCTCTCTTCTGCTTCTCAGCCTCACTGATGGGCATGTTCCCAGCAGAAAGTGCCAATTTAGAAGCTTTTTCTGCAGGAAGAGAAAAGAACTTCTTGCAGTGGAAACAGGGGACAGAAGGCTGCCATGAGACTGTCCTTCTGGAACTCACGGTGGCAGGAAGAAGGTGCCCAGAGGGGACAGAGCTGCACCTCAGCGGCATCCACGCTGCCTGCGAGCGCCCATAGCCCAGCCTCGGCCAGCCGTCTCCTGCCTGGCTCCCGCCTGCCCCACACTGCGACCACCTTGGTCCTTCTTCCCCCTTCCCTGTCCCCACCTCAGGGGCTGTGCCAGGTTGGTCCCTCTGCCTGGACAGCACCTCTCCCCCATACATACGCTGAGATTATGTTTTCAGTATCAGGTTTCAGATATAAAATCCCCTATCTCAGATAAAAGTTCCCCCGTGCCCTTCCTGCTCTGTCACAGCATGGTCTGGGACTACACTCCCACAGCTCCCTTCCTCTCCACCGCGCGCACGCAGGCCACTGCACTTCCCAATGATGGCACAGTGTGGAGAACAGTGTGAAGTGAGAGGGGACGGGTTCTTCGGAGCCTGCAGCCCGGCTCTGAGTCTCAGGTTTGCAGGCAGAGCTTTAGAGTCCCGGAGAGGCCGCACAAGCTCTGAGTCTCAGATTCCTCCTCTGAAAGGTGGGTAGAACCATGGTAATTAAGCCCACATCACAGGGCTGCTGTGAGGATTTCACGAATTCATCTGTGCAAAGCCGTAGGAAAATAATAACCAGCACTCAGTGTGGAGTTCCAGCGTCCATCTTCCCCACCAGGGCCAGAGCAGTGTTAACAGACAGCGTCTGTGCTCAGCAGGAGACATCAATGTGGTCCCCATAAGTGAAGGACCACAGCGAAGCCCAAGGAGGTTCCCGAGGGATCTACAGGAGCACCTCCAGAGGGCTGAGCTACATGAGAGGCAGAGAGAAGAAGGCTCGGAGTTGCAAGAGATGAGAGAATGGGTCCCAGCCTGCTCTCCAACGGACCTGGGGGTAGGAACACCCGAGAACGACTCCTAGGGCTCTGCCTGGGTAAACAAAGTTCAGTCTGGACAATCAAGACAGGAGCAGATGATGCGGTGATAGCTGAAGCAAAAGGTGTGGGCAGCCATGCAAAACCAGCAGACTGGGAAGCAGCAATGTTTGAGAATTCGAAGAGATGAGCTCAGGAACTTGACAGAGAAGAAAGGCCAGAGAGAGGGAAGCTGGACTGAGGTCAGACAACTGTCAGAGGAGAGTCGAGGCTGGAATGCTCCACAGCGATACTTCAGCAGATAAGGCATTTAAGAGAAGGACCACAGTCTTCAGATGGAACAATCCAAAGGTGTGAGTGAGCGCACTGACTGAGCAGCGTGTGTGGCTTAGCTGCTAGCATTACAACTCAGAGCACTGGCCTGAGAACCGGTGAGACCAAGGGCCTGCATTTACCTTGCTACTTTATAGTCAAGAAATTTATCATGAAATATCACCTAATGTGTAAATAGCACAGCAATTTAGCTCTACCAAAATACAAGAGCCTCTTCTGCTAGAGCCTATGGAATGGAGCATCTGGGGAAGATGGAACTGAAAATCTTAGGACATTCAAGGACAGGATCTGGTAGTTTCCTTTCTGGCATATATGTACCTAGAACAAAAATCTCTACCTTTGCTGGTATTGGGCCTTATTTATAGAGAAAAAACCAAACATATCTAGAAAATGAACTAGCTCTGATAACAGGGTATCCAGTATTCCGGGGTTTTTTGGGGGGGGTTACTGGGGATCGAACTCGGGACCTTGCACTTTTGAGGCAGGCGGAGGAACCACAGAGCTAAAACCCCGACCCCAGTATTCTGGGGTTTTTTTCCCTTGAATTATTGAAAAGATTAGTTTGATGGCTAAAGAGGGTGGGGTATAGACATAGAAATTGCTTTTTCACTCTGTTGAAACTATGTTACTCTACAAGAACATTTCCCAAAGCTGGGCTTGGAAAATACTAGTCCAGAAAGTTTCCCCACTAACCTGGCTAAGGAAGTCCCATACCCCACCCCGCTCTTCCAAAGGCCTGGGAAGCCCTGCACACCCCACCACGGGTCTGCGGTGGGGCTGCGACCCAGGGCTGTGGGGACTTAATTACCCACTAGTCAGGAACGTCATTCTGCCCACTAACCCTCTTGAGCTCTCGCCCTCCATTACTACATGTATGAAATCCAGTTTGATGAAGATTAGTAGTGCATTTGTAGAAGGGCAGTGGGACCCATAAAAGGCGACGTGGGGTTTGACCAGAGCAAAGGACATCCCTGTGTATGCTGCTTTAAGATAATATGGGTAATGACAAAAGGCAGAGGAAAGCCTGGAGCGCTAGGAAGTGCATGTGAAGGAACTGCAGAATATCGTGAAAATAACATAAGGAGCCACCAGGTGTCGCCCTAGCCCTCGTTCTACTTCCCCAAAAGCCAGAGCAATTTCAATTCACCAGATAGTTTTCATGCACAAGGGGAAAAATCCATTTTCTAAACTAGTTTCCAAACTTCAGCCTTTTAAGTCTTCCACATCTCCTCATTTCATTTTAAATTAGTATCCTCCTGGTGATGGAGTCTGGTTTCTTAGAACATCACACTAGGAGAGGCACACTTGAATTTTAGCGTTTTTACTCACTGGTCTGTGAGGGTTTGTTTCTCCTTACTGGTCACTGGAGGGAGCCAGAGCTCCCTTGTCTGGGCCCAAGCAAGAGGAAATCGCCAAAGTTCAAAAAAAGAACCCCGGCTGGGCACCGATTTGACCCAGCAGCTCCTTCCGCGGTTTGTTCTTCATGATGACCGTCCCAAATCACATTTTACATAAACGAGGGTTAGTGGTTTGTTTGTTTTGGGGTTTTTTTCCCATAAAATAGTTGCACCCTATAGATGGACTAGGAAAATATGTATCTGTTCTGTGTGTGTCTGTGACAGAACGTGCTGTCTGCTAGAAGAACCACTTTTAACAGAAATCGAAACTGCATTCTGGTCGGAGGAACTACTGAAACTGAAATTAAAAAAAAAAATTAAAAACCACTTCAAAAATCATCGGGCTAAATTATACAACTGAAAAGCAGCAGGCCACAAATCAAACACAATTTAAAACAGAGAAACCGCAGGTTATTTTACATCTTACTTCATTCTGATAATCTGATCAAAAGGATGTTTTGGGGGGTTTTTCTTTTGTTTTGCTTTATTTTTAGTTTTTGGTGGTACTGGGGGTTGAATTCAGGGCCTTCTCACTAAACTACATTCCCAACCCTCTCTCCATTTTATATTTTGAGGCAGGGTCTCACTGAATCATGCAGGCTGAGCTTCAACTTTCCAACCCCTCCCAAAGCACACAGAACTGGGTCTAGTAACTCGCTCAAAACCTGTGATGGAGAAGTATTTTCATAGAACAGCTGGATAATGACCCGATGTTACAGGCTGTAATCTGGGCTCTGCAGCCTTGATCTTTCTCCATTGTTCAAGGCCTAGATCAAAACACACCTTTTCCAAGAATCATTTCTGGATTTTATTTCCCACTGTACCCTAGTGACATTTATCCTTTGCTTTCTTTCCACTCTCTAGTCCTACCCACAACACATATACAGATTTTACTAATATATCAGTCTCCCTCACTAAGACATTTATTTTTCTTTTTCCCCTTAGGTTGGTTTTCTTCTTTTTTTCTTGTGTTTTTTGTTTTTTGAAAGGGGTGCTCACTATGTAGTTCAGGCTGGCCTTGAACTCATGGTGAGATCCTCCTGCCTCAGCTTCCTACGTACTGGGATTATAGGTGTGTAGGGCTCACCCAGCAATTCACATGCACCAACTCCTGAACTCAGTACTTTGCGTTACAACTAACTCGTTTAATACTTACCATTCTGAAGGCAAATGCTAATACTATCCTTATTTTGCAGAGAAAGATACTGACACAGAAGTTAAGAAACTGTCCAGCATCACAGAAATGGTAAACAAAACCAGAATCTAAACCTTGGCAGTTTGGCTCCAACCCCTGAGTCCCTACCCACCAAGTCCTGCTATCTCTCCAAGAGGTGTGTTGTGTGACAAACATTTGCTGAAATTAAACAAAAGTACAAATCTGTGGGACATGCTTTACAGAATCTAATGTTCAAAATATGGTTTTCTGGAACACTTACTTTTGATCATCATCCAAATCAGCCACTTAAAAGCTCCAAATCCCCAAAGAAAGTGTTAAGAACCATCCCATAATCCACGAAGGGCAAGTAGATAGCATACTCACTAGATCCAGATATGTTCAAGGCTCTACATTCTTCAATGTTGGCTTTGCTGTCAAAATAGATTTTGATTTTGCCACTGTGAGCTTTATTGTCAAAGATGATCTAGAGACACAACAGATTGAGAGGTTTTAGCCCAACAAAAAATACGACTTGTTACATCATCTCTGCTTCAAAAATCAGTGGCATCCAAGCAGTCTGCTGACCTGAAGAGCACTATACTGACAAAAATGTCTTCAATTCTTCACAACCTTCTAGTATTCATGAAAAAATACACTATAAAGGATGCATACATGAAGTTCTACTAAATCAAGGATTTCAGAGAAACCCTAGAGAAAAATAGCCAACCAGTCCCAGAAATTAAAATAAGAATTTTCCAATCTGACGGGAGAATGCAATTACCTGAATTACTACATGGAATGGAATTTAAAAGCACTTGCTTCAACTTAGATGTCTGGTATGAAATTCTAGGTTTTTACCAGCCTGGGCATTATTTTTGTTTGTTCCAAGAGCTGCATACACACATACATAGAATGCTTTCAGAAACGACAGGGTGCAGGCCAAACTGCAGATGCCTGAGTGACCTCAATCTTCCACGTTATGGAACTTTAATCAATTATTGAACCCATTTAAAGCTTAGGTGACACATGCCAAGTAGTTTTCAGAGTGGACACATTAAGAAACAACAGGACCTCATAACAGAGCTTAGAGGGTGGAATACACATTGATCAAATCCATACTCACCTGCGCATCACTAAATACCAGCCAAGTTCTGTGCCATCCAAGAACATCACTAAGACACACCGACGTTCAGGGTAGCCCCATCTCTACACCTGTCAGCTAGGACAGACCTCACTGATGTTGGCGAGTGGTCGCTGTTTCCCCTCGGAGAGCCCCTAAAACACTTCCTTCAAGGCTCTGGAACCCCAAGTAGATAGACGTCTATGATGGCTGATTGACTGTGCCAACTTGAATAGGAGAAGCTCTACTAAATGGGCTCGGCAATGCCACACCCTCCAGGGTGGCTGTCAGCTGGATGAATGTCAGATGCACTCGTGTTTCTTCGGAGGAGGACCAGTCTTCACCTTCCCCTTCCGCGCAGATGCTTCACTTCCGGCACAGATCCTTCCGCCTTCCGGGGCAGACTCTTCAGCCTTCCATTGTAGGCCCATCCACCTCCTGACGTGGACTCGCAGGGGGCACTGCAGTGAGCTCCAGACCTTCCACTGAATTCTTGGTCCCCAGGGTGCAGACAGACCCTCTGCACCCTTCCTCATCCGATTCTGTGGGATGTAAGCTAATCCATTGTAAGCTAATCTTGTAAATTCAGATATATTTGTACATCCTGTGTTATATGTTTCTTTAGTAAACAGTGACTGATAGTTTTTTCCAAAGGAGAAAACAAAAAAAAAAACCCCAAAATGTAACACCAATTGTTTTAACCCACACTGTTGACCGTGCCGTAACAGTCATCAGTGAGCACATCCTTGCTGGCCCTACTCCTCCCTGATCCTCTGCTGCCTCTGTCCTCGTCCCTCTAGGGCTCCCTGTGCTGCCTGCCCGCCCACCCCAGGAAAGTCAACGCGATCTTCTCAGCCAGAGACATCCTTCCTCACCACAGGTTCTGGTTGGGGTGCAGCCCCCCAGAGTTGACAAGTTGGAAACTTCATCCTCCTGGCCCGGTGACTGGGAGGTGGGGGCCATGAGAGGGGAAGAGATCATGTGGACTCTGCCTTCGTGAGTGGGCTGAGTTATCACCACTGGCGGCGAGTGACCTCCAGAGAGGGTTTGCTATAGAAGAGGCCCTTCTTGTTCTCTCACTGTGTGACGCCTTCAGCTACACTAGCAGGAAGGTTCTGACCAAATGCAGCCCCTTGATTTTGGACTTCCCAGTCTCTAGAACTAGAAGTCAAAAAAACTTCTATTGTTTACAAATTTCCCAGCCTGTAGTATTTATCTTGTTATAGCAGCAGAACACTGATTGAAACACCAAATATTTCCATCTGCATTTCCTTCTGTTTCTTTCTTTAGTTTTCTGTCTGTTCCCTCTACTAGGCTATGAGCTCCTTGCCTCTAGGACATAGCAAATGCCTGGAGCACAGAAGGGACTTGTAAGTATGTATTATTTGGTGCTGAACAAAGCACTCTTCTAAATTGCTAAAAGATAGATTACAGAATTCTCAAACAAGCCTCCAGTTTGGCCCTTTAACGAACCTGAAAGGAAAGTAGGGAGAGTGGAAAGGAAGGAAAGAGGGAAGAAGGATGGATGGGGGAAAGCAAGAAGACATAAAATCCCATAGACAGCCTTTTCTATTGCACATGGCTCCTCCCAAAATAAAAGGAGAAGCAGCTGCTCCTTCACAGACTGAGGGAGCTTCTTTAGAAATATTTGCTGTAACATTTGCAAAGACTTTCTTCAAAGCTGGGTAAAGTACTATAGATGTTTAAATTACTTGTCATGAACATTTCTTTTATTATAGTAGGAGAATTGGAGTTGGAGGGGGAAACCAATTTTGAAAACTCTTCTTGTTGACTCAGAAATCTGGCCTTAACAGGTTGGAAAGGACTTTCTGCATGTTTGGAAGTAATGGATCAATGACACCATAAACCGTCACTAAAATTGTTTCAAACACAGCTGTATCTAACATTTCTAGGCTGGTGTGACTTTTACTCTGCATCTACAGAAGGAGTAGAGAAAACATAGGAAGTGGCTTAGTCAAACAACAAAGACACTTGCCGTGTTCTGAAAGACGTAACAGTCTGGTAACTCACGGGAATGGATCGTCTGAAGGTCAATGCCTTTGAGGTGAAAGGAGATTTCAACTTGCAAGAGTCTAAATAAAATATATGAAAAGATGTGAACTGTCATAGTCCATCACTATACCACTCTCCTTCCCCCACCCCCGTCTCTTAGAAAATGAGACTTGAAATCATGTATTTACCGGTAAAACTCCAGTCTGAAGAAAGCAGACTGCTTCCAGGCCTGAGAGCTCTCGGAGAGGGTCGGGAGGTCTAAGAGAACACAGTCTAGGGCAGCAGGAGAACAAGTAAGGATTGTTTCAGGCAAGAATCAGATGCTAAAAGCAGCAGACAAATGCGATGAGAAGCAGGATACTTAGAAGGTTTTAAAGTATCTCCCCAGGGAGTGTCTACTAATTACACCAGGAAGAACAGCCACCTTTCAGTGGAGAACTTGGCAGACATCACACTAACGCAAGGACCAAAGTGAACGTCACCGATCATGAGATGAACAGACTTCATGTGCCTCTGCTATGACACACTGAGGACGCATCACATGCGCAGGACTCCTGCCCCGATTGCGTAACCTCGGTCCCGTTGTGAAAAACAGGAACACTCAAAGTGAGGGATGTTCTACTCTTTAAAATGTCAAGGTCAGCCTGGCATGGAGGCGCACACCACAATTCTGGCTACCAGCTGAGGCAGGATTATGGCAAGTTTGAGGCCAACCCGAGGACCTGAGCAAGACACCTGTCTCAAAATAAAAAAGTAAAAAGGGCCGGTGATGTGACCTCAGTGGTGGAGCACTTGCCTAGCAAAGCATAAAACCCTGAGTCCAATTCCCAGTACCTCAGGAATAATAAGAAAGGGAAGGAAAAAGGAAGGATCAAATCATAAAAGAACAAAATCCAAGTAACTTTATCTTGCTCCAGATTAAAAGAAACTGAAAGACATGGTCCCTCAATGCAAGATGTGGCCCCGGGGAGGATGTGAGGGAGTGGTTTTTCTCTGGCTACAAAGAACATGAGGTGATGAGCTGCGGTGAGGGTTTCCGGATTAGTTTGGCATGGATGTCTATCGTCACTCTGAGCAGTGGACAGTGGTCACGCAGAACATGTGCTTATTTGGGGGAAATGCACACTGAAGTGGTTAGGGGTAAAGAAACAGCATGACTGGGCCTTCAGGAGAAATATTTATACACAGAAGAGTGAGAAAGCAAGTGTGATAAAATGTTAGTGTTTGGAAACCCTGGAGGAAGAGTGTACAGGGTATTCATGGAGATACTTTGTACCTTCTCTGTTACATCTGATAGGTTTTCAAAATAAAAAAGAAAGGAAAGAAGACTGCACACAAGTAAAAACGAACAATGAGCTGTGAACTCTACAAGAATGATTGAGTCTCCCACAAAAATTGTCTTCTTACTGTGGCACCAACCACCCTTGCTTTACATGGTGGTCTGGAGGTGACCATCTGTCAGTGTCACTGAGGCCTGGGACCCGACTGGTGTGAAACCGGCTGCCGGCTCCTACGGGCTGTGCCTCCTGTGCTGCCTCTGATGTAGACAAGTCAGGGTCTAGTGCAGTGCCTGGCACTTAGCAGGTCCCCTGGAGTCTGGGTGCACGCGATGGCTCTCTCTTTCATAGTGTCATCCTCCAACTTCAGCTCCTTCATGTGCTTTCTTAACCCTGAAAGTAGAGTAAAGGTCTTGGAAAGCAAGAGCACAACTGTGTTGCACCCTTTCTCAACACTTACTGCTTACCATGGAGCTGACACTTGAAATATGTCCCAGTATGTGGGACAGATATGTGTTCAATAAGAACTAGACGTGCTGGGCCAGACACAGGGACGCAAGGCTGAACAGAAAGCTTAGTATGACGTAGCATAACAGAGGCCATGTGCTAGGTAGGGCTTCATACATTCTCTCAATGTATGCTTTGTTCTGTCTAATCCTCAAAGCAACCATGGGAGACAGGCACTACTGCTGTCATTTGACAGATTAACCAACCAAGGCACAGAAAGGTCATGAAACTTTAAGGTCATGCAACTAGTTGGTACTGATTTAAACTTTAAATACACCTGTTCTTGGTTCCAGATCCTGAGTTCCACTGAGGGCTGATGTCTAAGCATGGATTTTAGAAGAACATCAAGGATTCAGGCTCCTCCCTCATTCATTCATTCAATAGTTGCTGAAAATCTGGGACTGCCCTAGACACTAAAAGTAAAGCAATGAACAAGTCAGATATAATGACTGACTTCATGGAACTCATGTTCTGGGAGAGACAAACAATATGGTTTTTAAAAAGATAACTCCATGGTGTGAAAAGTACAGATAAAGTGACTATTAGACTATTAGAATAGTCCTGGTCAAAGAAAGCTGGTTGGGGAATGATTGTCAAGGTATAAAGGTTTTGAATTAAAACCTTTTTCTGAAGGAAAAAGAACCACGTATGTTCAGGTCCAGGCAAGTGCTCCCAGTAGCAAGAATTCAAGCTATAAGGATGCCAGGCAAAAAAAAGAGGCTGGCTTGTTCCATGAACTGGAAGAATGCAAGAACTAGGAGCTGAGCCTGGGGCTATGAGGAGCTTGGAGAGGCAGGTAGGTGGGCAGCTCCCAGGGGGGACTTGCAGATTTTACTCTAAATGGAATGGGAAGCACTAATAATTCTGAAGCCAGGAAGTGATATGACTCAACTTACATATTTTTAAAATGCCTCCTCTGTGGGGCAGAGCAGGTTGTAGGAAGGATCCGACCAGATGCAGGGAGATCAGTCTAAGCAAGGAGTGGCCTGCAGTAAGGCAGTGGCAGAGGAAACAGAGCAACTGATAAATTCAAGCATGAAGCTTGAGCAACTGGAAACATTAATGTGTAATGCCAAAATGTAGCTGTCATTTTCTAAGATGGGGAAGTCCTAGGAAGATAGAGATTGGGTCTGGGAAAGGTAGGGAGATGGGAAGGTTTGAAATGTTTCTTCTGTTTGGGACACAGGAGGTGTAAGAGTCCTACCAGACATTCACAGCAGCGCTGTTAAGCAGCCAGTGGAATATCTGAGGAGCCTGGAGCTCAGGGAAAAGCACAGGGGGAGAAGGGTGAGCCTCGGTGGCTGAGAACAAGGGCTTGGCTTCTCAGGGGCCAGAAGGGATGGACATAGGGCATAAAGGGCGGAGAGAAGCGTGCAAGGTGCTTCAGACATGTGGTGGGCAGAAGACAAGGGTGTTCTGCCCTAGCAAGCCTCTCCGGGGCAGGACATGGGATGCAGGAGGCTAGGGACAAATGACAGTGGAGAGCAGCCAGGAGAGAAAGCACAGGGAAGCCCGTTGGCAGCTTTGGGAAGAAAGTGATACTGGTGGCAAAGATATCTCGGCTATGTACAGAAGGCACCGAAGCTAGAAGGTGGTGATGGACATAGCAAAATGTGGTAAAGTTAGTCCTAAGAGAGGTCTCTGGAAGTCAGAGATCTTTGGCAGGAGGAGTTTGGGCAGAGTGCTTACCTAGCATGTGGGAGGTCCTGGGTTCAGTCCCTCGAATCCCAAAAAGACCAAAACAAAACTTTAGTTGGAGAGCATCAAATCAGTGCTTGAAAATCATGACGTGCAGATACCACTAGGGATTCTGTCAAGATGCACATTTGGATTGAGTAGCTCAAGGGTGGGGCTGAGATTCATCACAGAGGCTCACATTACTGGTATTAGAGCAGCCACTACAACCACTAAAGCATTACCTGACCTTGCTCAGCACGGTTCCCTAGCTTGACTGAGAGGTGGTTTCCTCGGCTGTACAAGGAAAGCCAGGCTATGATATGTAAGGGCCTTCTCCCTCTAACATTCTTATTCTAAGGGCAAGTAAAAGAATAAGTAAACAGAGCTGAGTAGACAACTACATTCCGAAAGAAGTAACATGCTCAAGATCTATGTGCAGACATGGCCTTAGGACTTTTTCTCCTGTATTTCATTTACTCTAAGATGCATATTATTTTACTTTAAACATCTCTAAAGCAGTTGTGCTTTCTTTTTTAACTGATGGCATCTAAGATTCAGAGAAATCTGACAGAATTTTGTCAGTTGCTTGTATGAAATTTATAAAAATTTATAAAATATGCTGTATAAAAGTGTGCCTTATTATTCACTCCGCATCACTTTGCTTGTAATTACGGAGCCACATGTTTTCTCAGTTTATATCAAAGCACCCTGAAGTCTGGCTGACCTTATACTATAGCCACTGCTTCTGAGGCCACCAGCACTTGGTAGCAACAAAGCTCAGATTTTTTTTTTAAAAAAAAAGAATGGTAAAGCCCTAAGTAAAATATCAAACTTCCAGCAGAACAAACTGGTATCTAGAATAAGAGTTTCATCACTCAAACAAATCTCACTTACAGAGGGGAATACTCCAGCCAATGAAATAACAACATTTTCAGAGCGTGCATAAATTAAACACATCCCTACAGCAGGAGGGAAAATGATAACGTTAGTTATCATGTCTCATGCCAAGAACATGTGGAAATAAGAACCTAAGAAACTCAAAACTGTTACAGAAAATGAAACACTATATAAGGTGAACATCCTTAATGCAAAAATAAGAAATCCAAAATGCTTTAAAATCTGAAACCTATTCTTTCTTTCCTATTTATTTATTTATTTATTTATTTTGGTACTGGGGATTGAACGCAGGGTTTCACACTGAGCTACATTCTTGACCATTATTTTAAAACTTTTTTACTGACAAGGTCTTGCTAAGTTGTCCCCGCTGGGCTCAAACTTGGGATTCTCGTGCCTCAGCCTACCCAAGTGCTGAGATTATAGCACTAAAAGCATTTTGAGCACGGACCTGATGCCACAGTAGAAAATTCTTCACCTGATGTCACCTTATAAGTAACAGTCAAAATATAGGTGCACTCAAAATATTATTGAAATTACGCTCTGGCTCTGTGCAAGACATACAAAAACCATAAATGAATTTCATGTTTAGACTTGTGTCTTATCCTCAAGGTGGCTTTCTTTTTTGGCATTATTCCAAAATCCAAATAAAATCCACAATCTGAAATACTTCTGTTCTCAAGCACTTTGGATAAGGACTACTTAACCTGTATTAAAATAATACCCACTTAAGTGTTGGAAGAAATCTATTATAGGATTCAGAATGGTCTCTCAGTAAGGCTGAACTGGAAAGCTACAGTTCTAGAGGCAGAAACGGGAGGTGTGTGCCCATCAGCACGGACTAAGGGAAACACTTGGCTTAATCCACAGTTAGTTGTGCAACTAAGGGTGAAGCTACCAGAAATTGGGCATCAGGGCAGATCACTGCATTAGGACACAAAGGATGATTCTATTAATAGTAAAGAAAATGCAGAAGTTTTGAGTAGTTAATCTGGGACAGCCTCTACCAAATCACCTGCTGGAACTGTAAGCCACACCAATGGAGCCAAACTCAATCCTATTTATGTCAGCTGCAGGTTTCCTCCAATGTGTCTAAGAAAAAGGGGTCTGGAATCAAGTAGCAAGTATTTTTAAATCTTTATACCTTCTCAACACATCAGAATATTCTCTCTGCTGAGTTATATTTAAATAATTTAAAGAATATAATTAATTTCCTTAAGCAATCTCAAAGTAAGGTCATATTAATAATCAACCTCTCCACTTATTCAAACATACACCATATTCTTCTAAAAAGGAAGTGAACAAGGGCACCATTAACCAATGGTTAGGGAGTAAATAAATCCGGCTTTCCAGCCCCGCCCATCCTACCTAGTCACTGAGCTCAAATTTGGCCACATTTCTTTAATCAATTTTGCAAGAAAAGTCAATTGGAAAACAAAACCCAGCATATGAATCACTGGAAAACAGCTGTATGGTGCATTCAACTGGAGTTACACATTTTTAAAAGAGCAAGTGACCAATGGCTTATGTGAAATAGAAGGTGAGAGGACCAGCTTTCAGCCCCACCTGTCAGAGTCTCCTTGTTTCATTTACAGGAATCACCAAGGAGGGTGGGGTTGGGAATACAGGTAGAAAACTAAAGAGTGAAACAGGATTGGCTCACACAGACCCACTACCACGTAGGTCTCAGGTGAGCAGACCCCTCCAGGACAATAAGACCAGTGACATTTTAATGTCGCTGGCTACAGAACCGTGTAACTGTCCTCCAGCAAGTCTCTGACAGCAATCTGGGCACCAGACAGTGCAGGGTCTGAATCTGTGGCCTGCAGCTGCTCGCTCAGAGTCCAGAGCCTTCAATAAGTTCACTCACAGAGATTCTCAACAGTTTCTAGAAATGACTAAACCTCTGCCCTGTGGGAGTGGTCTCCTGTGGTGTTATCAACGCACCTTAAAATCAGATTGTTGGAAATATGGCCAAATGAACTGCAAGTTGCTCTCTAAAAAAATCACTCCAAATGTAAACTGATACTAGGACTCCAACTCTTGAACTGTTGGTTCCTTGGGGAGTCTTGAGGGATTAATCTTTGCAACCTAGGACAGGAAAGAGTGAGTGCCTTGGGCATGATGGCCTTCCACCAGAGGTTTGCTGAATGGCAAAATCCTCAAAGTATTAAACTGAACACCTCACATTTACATATGATATTCTTCTACATTATTAATAGAGTGGCACAAAATAACACCACATGAGTCACTGTTAACTTGTTGCCAAAGGATCTTCTAAAAGAGAAAATAGTTACTAATCACAATTCACCTTTGAAGAACATTTATATATTTTGCAAGTAATAAAAATTAGTGTGCAAGGCATTTTTATACACATTATTTCAGTTGATAGCTACAACCCATTTTTGAAAAAGCCTAATCAAACTCTCTTGAGTTAAAAAACCTAAACAAGCAAAAACACCTGTGTATTTATCCCCAAAACCAACACTCTTGAGTTGAACCAAAGAGATCGACACGAGCTGTGCCTGTGCATTACAGTGGTCAGTTTCCTGACCCAAAGTCCTTTGCAGGCAAATGGGGAAGGGGAAGCCTGGAATAGATTCACTCTCACAAAGGCAAAACTGTTCCATCTGAGTTGCTGTGTTCTCATCACAGAAGATGACGAAGGCATACAATGAAACGATTGCTGTGTTACCTATCTCAATGTCGCTGTCAATATTCAGGGTCTCATTAGAAGACAGCCTGGTCTCTCTCTTATAATGCTGCTTGCAGACTTTGAGGCCAATTCTGTTGTCTTCATTTTCTCCATAATCAAGAGTCGCCAGGGAGATGTTCTTCAGTCGATGATACTATTTTTAAAAAAGAGTTAAGTAAAAGCACAAGCCTTTGAAAATTTGACCAGAAGTCACAGCATACGGAACGCACTTTTAGCTATGTTGCCTTGTTTACCTTAGGCCTCTCAGCAGCACTTTCTCATTTAAATACCGAAGTACTTTTCTTAAGCTGCACTGGAACATATCACAGACACTAAACTGAAGCAAACATGCTGAAAACAGCTCTCATCTCCCTCAGAGCTGAGGCTGAGGTTTCCCCTTATCTCTCTCCCTGCCCTTACTGCTTCCCGTTCTCTTCCTTGCTGCTCCGCCCCCAAAGTTACACTGGCCTCCACACAGTTCCTGGAGCTTGCCAGACAGACCTGTTCCTGGCCTTTGCTGTCCCCTCTGCCTGCTCAATTCACTCCTTCCAGTCTTGACTCAGATATCACCACCTCAACAAGGTGTTCCCTTAGCAAGCCAATGAAAATTGCAAACATATATCAAAGCCCACACTGCACCCCTTAAATACAGAGTTATATCTGTCAACTAAAAGTAAAAGCAAAATAAAAATAATTTTTAAAAAGAAAATTACAAACATCATTCCATGCCCAGATGCTCCCCATCTCGTTCCCTTCTTTATTCCTCAGCAGTTACCACTTTCAACCATACCACTGCGGACCCAAACTACCCACACACCACAGCTGACATTAACACAACTTTACCGCTCAGCTTCTGCATTAATAGTGCTCCACTAGCCCTCATCTTTATCACTATGACATCATTATTCCAGGAAACCTGTATTTCAGAACACAGCAGTTGCAAATAACCATTGAACTTATTTCAGGGATGTTATGGGTTAGGTCTAGAATGTCCCCCAAAAGGCTCATGTGTTCAGAGGTGGGGCTTTTGGAAGATGATTGGATATAGGGTGCCATGCTCATAAGTGGAATCATTCACAGAAGAGTTCAGAGCTCAAGGTGCTCTTAGGAAGTGGGGTCTGGTTGGAAGATGTGGGTCACTGGGGGCCTGACCTGGAAGGGTTGTCTCCCCCTTATCTCCTCCTTTCTCTCTGCTTCCTGGTCACCATGGTGTGAGCAGCTCTCTTCCACCAGACCCTCCCACTATCCCTTCCTGCACTGGAGTCAGCCAAGGACTAAATCCTCTAAAAACTGTGAACCAAAATAAACCTCTCTTCCTTTAAGCTGTGGATGTCAGGTATTTTGTCCTAGTGATGAGGAAAGTGACTAAGACAAGGAACATAAAGAAAAGCTCATGCAAATAGGTAACAGTTTGAAGATGTAGTCTGATAACAATTCCAATTCTCTTTGAGACTGCTCCCCAAACTCTTTCCTTGCTATGTCCACCAATCTTAAACTATTATATCCAATTATACCCAATTCTAATCAATTTCCCCCAACACTGCAGCGTCCCCCCACCCACCCAAGGCACCACAGAGAGTACAGTAAAGGCAGCATCTTCCTTACTGCTGTGAGCAAGAGGCCCAGCTTTGCTTATCAATATGTTTTTTAGATAACTCTCTCTGGAGACCCAGAATTCAACACGATACGTCACACTTCATTTGTCTAGCTCTCCCCTCTAGAGGATTTTGTTTGTGTTTTTTCTCTGCTATGGCCCCCAAGGTCTAGAATTGTACCTGCTACGTACTAGGGACTCAAATATTTATTGAACAAATGAAAGAAAAAACGAGCAGTTTCTCTCTCCTAAATGTTTACTTTAGGCCTACCAATCTACTTTCTTATACCTGTCTAGATACCATTATCGTATATTTATATTTTTAAGATTCAGTTAGGATTGCCAATCCTAAGACATGAAAATGGAGACAACCATAGTCTTTTAGGTTGTGTTTCAAATACTCCTCAAAACTTATGAGACTATAGGGCGGGGGATTTAGCTCAGTGGTTCTGGTGCCTGCCCCGAAGCGCAAGGACCTGAGTTTAATCCCCGGTACAAAAAAAAAAAAAAAAAAGATAAATCTTAAAGAAAAATTCAAAATAGGCAGAAGTAGTAATAAATATTTTTGGTAGACCATGCAAAGTTTACCTTAGAATATTTTAATGTATGTATAACTTTTGTTCCTTTACTAAGACAACAAGCTCAAGTATGAATATATTCTTGAAGTATAGGTTATTCACAAAACACTTGCCTGACTAATAGCAAAAAAGATGCTCTCATAGGCGTCCTCTTGAGTATAAATACTGCAGCTATAGTCATCTTCATCTGTGCCAGAATAGTCTTTCAAAAACAAGTGCTTAAAAGCAACAGTGTTATCTTCTTTGAAAGCAACCACCAACTGGTTACCTAAACCAAAACGAACAAGCTAGAAAAGAAAATTAAATAAGAATGTGAACTTTACCAGGGGAGGAAAAGACCTTGTTATTATCATTAACCCTCACCTCTAAGCATCAGAAGAAAACTCTCAGTTCTTTGCTTTATTCTAATAACAATAATGTCAAAACATAAGTTTCAGGGCCGGGGATTTAGCTCAGTGGTTTCGCCGCCTGCTGCACAAGTGCAAGGACCCGAGTTTGATCCCCGGTACCGGGAAAAAACAAAACAAAACAAAACATAAGTTTCATAAAAGAATAATCACATTGAGCTACATCAGCAATTCTAAGTAGCATAAAATCGTGCTGGGGCTCAGAAAACAATTCCCCAAAGTATGGCACTTTGACACACTGAGACCTTGAACTAAAGAAGCAACCTGAGAACCAAGGTGTTGTGAAGCCTCCACCTTCTCTCGTCTCTTCTGAAGCACAGGGGGGACTTTCTCTGCAGTTCCTTATCTAAGAAAAATCCTTCCAGATTTAAGATAATTGTCATAAGCCCTTTTCCTATAATCTCAACAAACAGAGAAGATTCACTCACAAGAGAGAAGACTTCCAGTCTGAGGCCAAAACCCTGCAAGTTCCCTGGAAAGCTGGTTTAAGTTCATGTTCAAAGGATGAAGAAGCTGGAGTCTGATATCTACAGGGGCAGCAGCCGAAAAACCACACCCACTAGGAGAGAGTCCAGCAGGGACAGCAAGACTTCCCCTTCTTCCACTTTTTGTTACGTTTAGGCCCACAACCTATTGGATAGTGCTGCCCACATTCAGGGCAGATCTTCCCATCCAGTTCTCTGACCCACACACCAGTCTGCTCTGGAAACATCCTCCCAGATACATCCAGCAATGTGCTTCCTGATTTTCTAGGCATCTCTCAATCTAAGCAAGCTTACAATCAGAGTTCACCATGTGCCTGCTCTTCCTGTACAATGGCCTATGTCCCCTCACTGTCCTTTCCCTTATAAAGAAGGGTATATAAGCTCTTAAATCTCTTTGGGTTATAGGATATTTACTTTTCATTCTTGCAATACCCCATGTGAAGCAGGATTTAAAGGAAAAAAAAAACTCACTTGCTACATCACTAGAAAAACCACCCCCTTCAATAAAATGCATAAAAGCTGAAACTTTTCTTTGTTCAACGCTCTTCCTGTGGACAGGAGTCCATTGAGCTGGTGTTCACTTTAAAGAAATCCTCCTCATTCCCATTGGTCTCTCCTATCTCTTGGAATTCTGCAACACACGAACATAATAAATGTGTATGCTTTTTCTCCTGCTAATCTGTCTATTGCCAGTTTATTTCAACTGATGGAAAAAACAAACCTTCACAGAGAACAGGGAAATTCGTTTTGCCCCTAAAACTGGAAGAAATTACCACTCTCAATGGCTAACAACTCTACAGGCCTTTAAGAAAGAATCCATATCAGCTAAATCTCATCCATTTTTCTTTTTTTTAACTTTGCAATCACACTTCAATTTCCTTCAAAAATCAGTAGACGCACATATTTTAGTAATATAAGTTTAAATTATAATAAATGTAGTTACCTTTATTCTTTTTCTTCACTATCTCAGCTGCAAAATTTCTTTTAGTTTCTGGCATTAAGTCTCTTTATCTATTTCAGCATTGATTTTTATAAAAATATTTTCTGGTTATAAAAACCATGGTTCCAACAAAGGCCAGTTGTCCAAGAAACCTATAACTCTATTTTGTATGTGATCTCTTAAGTTCTGGTACTCATGCTTGTCTTGGTTTTCAGCAGCACCATATTGATCAATATCTTTATGAGCCATTTCACGTGAAAATTCTTCAGCTATGATATGATTCATGCAACTCAGCAAGAAAGTATCTGAAATATCTAGTAAGATGACAAAATCAAATGCAGAAGAGGGAAGAGGTACTTCTTTTGAAGCTGTAGGCTCCACAGCCAATGTGGATATTTGTGTTTTCTTTGCCTCCATTTCTATGAGGTTTCTATTGTAGCCGGTGAGAGCTTCCTCTCAAAGCTGTGCAGGGTTCAGTGTCATTGGAAAACCATCTGGGATCCACCCTTGATTCACAGATATCTCATTAATAACATTTACTATGACGTTAAATAATAATGTGTCTGGAGTGCTCTTTCCTTTCTTCAGCAATTGTGATTTGCACCAAGCTGAGCAAGTACGGTGAGTTTAGAGAAATTATCACTATCACTTGATTTGACTCCTTCAGTTTTTGGTGTTCTATTAGAATATGTGTACTAGATGAAATTTCACCTTCTATTCTGGTGCTGGTTCACCTGAACTTGCAGCATCTGAAGGTACCCTGTGTGAGTCCTGGCTTTCCTTAATGTCCTCCTGCAGATCTGATGGAAACTCTCCACCTTCTTTCTGAGTTGGTAGGCCCTCACTGACTATTTCTTTTTTCTTTTTTTTTTATTCAGTTTATTGGTACATTTTAGGTATACAATACAGTTACATTCATCATTGGGATCTTGTACCTTTACATGATGTATCTTGGTTCTTATTTTTTCCCCAT